AAAAGCCCTCAACAAAATTCAACACCCCTTCATGATAAAGGTCTTGGAAAAAATAGGGATACAAGGAACATACCCAAACATAATGAAGGCAACATAGAGTAACCCAACAGCCAACATCAAACTAAATGGAGAGAAACTCAATGCAATCCCACTGAATTCAGGAACAAGAAAAGGCTCTCCACTCTCTCCATATCTATTCAATATTGTACTCAAAGTTCTAGCTAGAGCAATAAGACAACAAAAAGAGATCAAGGGGATATAAATTAGAAAAAAAGTCAAACTCTCGATATTTGCTGGTGATATGATAGTTTACATAAGTGACCCCCAAAATTCTACCAGAGAATTCCTACAACTGATAAACACCTTCAGTAATGTAGTAGGATACAAGATTAACTTAAAAACATCAGTAGCCCTCCTATATACAGATGATAGATGGACTGAGATAGAAATCAGAGAAATGTCACCTTTTACAATAGCCACAAATAACATAAAATATCTTGGGGGTAACTCTAACGAAACAAGTGAAAGACCTGTATGACAAGAAATTTAAGTCTTTAAAGAAAGAAATTAAAGAAGATATCAAAAAATAGAAAGATCTCCCAAGGTTTTGGATAAATAGGATCAACATAGTAAAAATGGCAATCTTGCCAAAAGCAATCTATAGATTCAAGGCAATCCCCATTAAAATCCCAAAACAATTCTTCACAGTCTCTAAATGAACAATACTTAATTTCATATGAAAAACCAAAAGACAAATAAACAAAACAAGGATACCTAAAATAACCCTGTACAATAAAGGATCATCTGGGGGCATCACCATCCCTGACTTCAAGCTCTATTATAGAGATATAGTAATGAAAACAGCTTGGTATTGGCATAAAAACAGATAGGTGGACCAATGTGATCGAATCAAAGACCCTAATACCAACCCATATGCCTATGAACACCTAATTTTTGACAAAGAAGCTGAAGATATAAAATAGAAAAAAGAAAGAATATTCAACAGATGGTGATGTCAACATGTAGAAAAATGCAAATAGATCCATATCTATCGCCATACCCAAAACTCAAGTCCAAATGGATCACAGATCTCAATAAAAGTCCATCCACACTGAACCTCATAGAAGACAAAGTGGGAAATACATTTGAATGCATAGGCACAGGAGACCACTTCCTAAATAAAACACCAGTAGCACAGACTCTGAGAGTAACAATTAATAAATGGGACTTTCTGAAACTGAGAAGATTCTGTAAAGCAAAGGACATGGTCAATAAGACAAAAATGGCTGCCTACAGAATGGGAAAAGATCTTCACTAACTCCACATCTGACAGAGAGATGATCTCCAAAATATACAAAGAACTCAAGAAGCTAGACACCAAACTACCAATACTCCAATTTAAAAAATGGGGTACAAATCTAAACAGAGAATTCTCGACAGAACAATCTCAAATGGCAGAAAGACACTCTTAAGAAAATGCTCAATATCCTTAGTCATCAAGGCAATGCAAATCAAAACCACTCTGAGATTCCATCTTACACCAATCAGAATGGCTAAGATCAAAAACACCAATGACAGCTTATGTTGGGGAGGATGTGGAGAAAAGGGAATACTCCTCCATTGTTGGTGGGAACACAAACTTGTACAGCTACTGTGGAAATCAGTATGGTGATTTCTCAGAAAATTAGGAATCAATCTACCTCAAGACCCTGCAATACCATTTTTGGGCATATACCCAAATGAGGCACACTCACACCACAAGGACATTTGCTCAACTATGTTCACAGCAGCATTATTTGTAATAGCCAGAACTCAAAAACAATCTAGATGCCCCTCAGTTGAGGAATGAATAAAGAAAATGTGGTTCATATACACAATGAATACTACTCAGTAGTAAAAAACAATGACATCCCAAAATTTGCAGGGCAAATTAATGGGACCAGAAAAAAAAAACATGCTGAGTGAAATAATCCAGATCCAAAAGACAAATATAGTATTTACTCACTCATAAATGGATATCAGGCGTAAAGCAAAAGATACCCAGCCTGCAATCCACAACTCGAGAAGCTAGAACCCTCTTCCAGAAACAGATGGAAGCAGATGCAGAAATCCACAACTAACCAATGCGCCAAGCTCCTGGATCAAAGTGAGGGAGGAGCAATAATATGAACAAAGGAGTCAACACCATGATGGGGAAACCCACAGAATCAGCTGACCCAAGCTAGTGCATAAGACTAAACTAGACTCCCTTAATATAGGTGACAATGGTGTGTCTGGGACAATACATGGGTCCAAGATCTAACTCTAATGCACAAACTGACTTTGTGGAGCCCTTTCTACATGGAGAGATACCTTGCTCAGCCTAGGCACGGGTGGGGGGCTGGAGGGATGGGTGGCTGAGCTGGGGGACCATCTTGGCCCTGCCTCGATGAGATGTGAGATGAAGGGACAGACTTAGTAGACTTCCTAGGGGAGACCTTACCCTCTCTCCCAGGAGCAGGTAGGAGGTGGGGTCGGGGGAAAGAGTGGGGAGCAGGAGGAGAGGAGAGAGGGGGAACTGGGATTGGAATATAAAAATCAATTAATAAATCAATTAAAACCTAAAATACTAACAAACATAAGCGTAATGGTGCTGCATGCTTTTTATCTCAGCACCTGGGGTGCAGAGGCAGGCAGAGCCTGTGAGCTTGGGGCCAACCTGGTCTAAATGGGAAGTTCCAATCCAGCCAGAATTACATATTGAGACCCTGTCTTCTAAAGTGTGTGCCCACCCCCACCCATTTGCTTTTCGAGACAGGGTTTCTCTGTGTAGCCCTAACTGTTACGGAATTAGCTCTGTAGACCAGGTTGGCCTCAAACGCAGAGATCCTGTCTCTGCCTTCCCAGTGCTGGGATTAAAGATGTGTGCCACCACTGCCACCAATCTCCTTTTCTATTCTTTATTTTGTCTTTGGCCACTGGCCAGATCCTAAGAATACTTGCTCTGAGTCTTTGGGCATTCCCATTCTTTCTCTGAAGACCTTGTCCCCATCCAGCTGTTCACCAACCTTTATTGCTGAACCTTTCTTAAAAACCCAACTCAAAAGGCATGGGTATCTCCCTTCCTTTTACCCATCTCCCTTCTCTCTGAAACTGCCAAGATTTTTAGCTTGTTTGCCTTGTTACTATTTTTTCTCTCAAATTATAACAAAATGGTCCTTGAGGGAAAAAAATCCACAATGAAAGGGTCATATTTAATACTCTATACATAGGTAATCTTAATTTGCTAAAACTTAATATATATATGTATATATGATTCAATTCTTGTTGAGAATTTATGGTGTATGTAATTTGAATTCAACTCTTGTTTTAAAAAAATGATCTACTGCGGGGCAGCAGTGGCGTATGCCTTTGATCCCAGGGCTTGGGAGGCAGAGGCAGGCTGGTCTCTGTGAGTTTGAGGCCAGCCTAGTCTACAAAGCTACACAGAGAAACCCTGTGAAAAACAAAAAATAAACAAACAAAAAAATAGATTTACTAAGAATACGTATTTTTAATAGCAACCACGTGGTTGGCAGCAGCCTTTATGAAGGTTAAGGGTACATGTCATATGACTTCACCATCATCTTATAGCCACATGGCATAAACCAACTAAGGCAGCACCTATAAAACTCTCAGTCAGACTGAGCCCTTATGCCATTATTATTGTATCTCCTTTTTATTTTTTTGAGTTTTAAGATTTTATTTACTTATTATGAATACAACATCCTGCCTCCATGTATGTCTGCACACCAGAAGAGGGCACCAGATCTCATTATGGTGATTGTGAGCCACCATGTGGTTGCTGGGAATTGAACTCAGGACCTCTGGAAGAGCAGTCAGTGCTCTTAACCTCTGAGCCATCTCTCCAGCCCGTATATCCTTTTTAGATTAAGAAAACAACAACAAGTCTCCAAAGTATCTGGATTAGGATGGATTTTTATATGATGACAAATTCCTAATGTTATAAAGATTTATTCAGATTAACAAAAATTAACTTACAGATGGATGTCTGACTACTTTTGTCTTTGTCAACTGTGTTCAACATCAAGCATCTAGAAATTTTAAATAAGAAGCAGTATATGTTTGAGGATTAAGGTATGTTTGATAAATAAGATTTATAAATTCCTAAGGTCTACTCAGGTTCACAGTAATAGGTTGGCTAACGTCTTTGTCTTAGCTACCTTTCCTTTTTTTTTTTTTTCTCGAGACGGGGTTTTTCTGTATTGTTTTGGAGGTTGTCCTGGAACTCGCTCTGTAGACCAGGCTGGCCTCGAACTCACAAGATCCGCCTGCCTCTGCCTCCTGAGTGCTGGGATTAAAGGCGTGCGCCACCAACGCCCAGCTTGGCTACCTTTCTTTAGCTTCAACTATTTTGATAAATTGAAGAAAAATATTCTGTAACAGTATGCCATAAAAGGATAAAACTATCAGTCTCTCTATGGACTCTATTTATGGTTTAAAGTTTACTTCATCTATGGCTTATCTTCAATTAAATCTTCAACTCAAATTTTTAAGGATCAAATTTAACAGGGATAAAGCTATAAAATCCTAATCTTATAATAGCTACTAGCATGTAAACTGTTATATAATTCATTTAGTGGCAGGATTTATTTAGCCTACTGCATATGTTTAAAGCAAGTAACTAAAACAAAGTTTAGGTCAGGTATACTTAATGGATTATGGCCCTCAAACTCCACAGAGATCTGGTGAATATGTTATTTAAAATGTTTAATAAAAATATTTCCCATGACAGACAGGAATGCCATATCCTAGAGGGAACCCTAAGGCCTCCAAAGAAGATGTGATAACACTACCCACTGGGTGAAACTGCCCTATGTCTTGCCTGCTGATAGGGCCCTACACAAACTGTGAACTCTTTTGGATTGATTGAGTTCCCCCAAGATCCTCCTCCACAGGAAACTCTCAGAGCTTCTGGGCCTTGCAGCTGAAGACTCAAGCTACACTATGTGGCAGTTTAAGATTAAATGCTGTCCTGTATGACAGCCAAAGATTGACTACTGCCCCCGGTGAAGCCATTGAGACTATGAAGACCTAGGGCAGTCTAGGTATTGGGTAAGTCTCTGTCATTTTAATTGATATATAGGCCATTTGGATTATACCTCCTGCTAGGTAGTGGGTGTCTTTTTAATTGGTACATAGGCCATTTGGATTATACCTCTTGCTCTAATTTATCCTTCCGAGACCTCTGATGAGACTAACTGTAGCTTTAACAGCAGCAAGCATGCCAGCTCCTCCCCAAGACCACAGCTGCTGCCTCTTCCTATATACAAAGCAGACCTCAAGCCTCACTTTCCTGGGGCTGGCAGGTCTTCAAGGGCTGAGGAAGACAGTTTCCTTTGCCCAGACTCTGAAGTCACTTTGGGGTCCCCAAAGTTTTACTATGACTCTTGAGTATGGTGCTCTCTCTACACTGTGGATTTCAGTACAGATTACAAACAGTGGCAGTGCTAACATCTAAAACTTTTTTTGGGGGGGCTCGAGACAGGCTTTCTCTGTAGCTCTTGTAGACCAGGCTGGCCTCAAACTCACAGAGATCCGCCTGCCTCTGCCTTCCAAGTGCTGGGATTAAAGGCGTGCGCCACCACCGCCAGACCATATCTAAAACTTTAATCTCTCTTTATAAACTTTTAAAAAATCTTTGTAAGCTTCAGGGAGTTAACTTGGAGCCACCACCTCTCACAGGTCAAGTGGACAAATAAGTACTGTCAATCAACAGCCCATCCCCCCCCCTCCTCCGCCTGTTCTGCCTATTCCTGAGGATGGGATCTCTCTCTTCCCCAACTTCCAGGCCCTTGGACTCTCCCAGATATGTCTGCCTCTGTCTACAATAAACTTTCTCCTCCACCATACCTAGGAGCAGTCACGTCCTCCTTTTTTACTTCTTTTCTTCATTCAGGCACATGTGTGTATGTGAGAATGCATGCTTGTCGAGGCCCTGTGTAGACGTCCAGAATCATCTTCCCCTGCTCTCCACCTAATTCACTGAGTCAGGGTCTCTCAATCAAACCCAGAGCTCACCAATAAGGCTAGTCGGGCTGTTCTGAGAAGGCTGGCATTATAGGCAGGCTATGTGGCATTTATGCGGGGGCTGGGAATTGAACACAGGTGCAGCAAGCCCTCTGCCCACCAAGCCCTCAAGGAAAGATTTTCTTTATTCTTCCTAACTTTCCTTCCACTAGTCAGTAATGCTCAAGCCACACCAAACCAGGGTGCATCTAGGGACAGCGAAGATCTGTTGGCTCCTATAGCTTAGGGCTGTGGATCCTCCCTCAAAGGTAGAGTGCTCCCACAGCTTGTTTAAGGTCCTGGATTGCCAGTGGCATAAAAAAAGAGGTGGAACAGTCTGCATTTCAATTCAAGATGCAGATAAGGAGATTAACTAACAGCAAGTGTAATTTAAAACTGGGGGAAATGCTAGAAAGGAAATAAAACAAGGATGTGAAGTCGGAAAAGTACCTGGGAGTTCTCGGCAGGCCTTTCTGAGGAAGTAATGTTTGAACTGAGAGCTTGATTGAAAGCAGTCAGCCAAGCGGAAAGCAGCAGGTACCAAGGCCCTGTGGGAGAGAGAGGCTCGGTAAATCGAACATGATGAATGAGGAAGGGAGGTGGATGGACGGATGCAAAACGGCATCTTTTCCTCCCCACAGGGGCTGGAAGCCTTCGTGGGGCTTTCAGAAGGGATCCTGAATTAGAGCTGGCTAGGGAGAAACACTGCTGGATGCTAGGCAAGTGGGGACTCGCCTACTATTTGAAGCATTCCCTTCCCAAGCCTCATTCTCCCCTCTCGGCCCCTCAGCTCAATCAAGGGAAGTGAGGGCCTCCGCCACCTGTGGCGTCCCCTGAGGTTTGCCTGGGGCAAACAGGAAGTCACAGTCCAGTTGAGACAGGCCTGGAACTCAACTGAGAAAGCCTGTCTCTTGGGTCTCTAGCCTTTCCTTTTAGTACTGTCATCAGTGAAAGGCACACACACAGCCACTCACACACACACAGCCACACACACACACACACACACACACACACACACACACACACGCACAACACACAGGGGCACACACACACAGGCATTCTCAGACACACACAGACACTGCACAATACACACAGGCACACACATGCACAACACACACAGACACAGACCCACGGGCAAACACATGCACAACACACAGAGGCACACACACATGCACGGACTACTGAACCACTTTCTCTGTGTGACTGTAGAAAATACCCTTCCCTGTTTGAGCCCAAACCCTCATTTCCATGAATCTCCTCCAACTGAATCAGGGGCTTAGCTGGAAGATAAAGGAACCTTAACCAGAAGTCATTGTTAAAGACCACTGCAGAGAGTAACAATGGCTCTCGCTCCCCACACAGCTGTCCAGCTCCCTCCCAGCTTTGACTGATGTGTTCCCAGAACAGTCTCTGGGGGTAGCTCTCTTACTAACTTGCTTAGAGATAAGGAAATTTAACCATGGTTTTGCAGCAACTAATGACTCCACTCTTAGGCGTTAGCTGACACTGTCTCTCAGAAACTGAACTGTAGATTGGACCAAAAAAGATACTCACACACACACACACACACACACACACACACACACACACACACACACAGAGACACACACTACCCCCCACACTACACACATCTCACACACCAAACACACACACACTACCCCCCACTACACACACCTCACACACCAAACACCCCCCCACACCCTGCACCCCACACACTCCTCACACCACACACACACACCTCCTCACACCACACACACTACCCCCCACACTACACACACCTCACACACCAAACACCCCCCCACACCCTGCACCCCACACACTCCTCCCACCACACACACACACCTCCTCACACCACACACACACTACCCCCCACATTACACACACCTTACACACCACCATCCCCGCCCCCTTTTTTTCCTGTGCTAGAATCCAGCACAGGCAAGTGCTCTACCGTTGGGCTACATTACGTACCCAGTTCACAATCCCCTCCATTTTTTGAGGGGGATTGAGACAGGGTCTCACTATGTAGCCCTGGCTGACTTGGAACTCACAGAGATCTGCCTGCTGCTGTCTCCCAGTTCCTGGGATTAAAGGTGTCACTATGCCTGCTTGGTTCTTCATTTTTTGAAATGTGGTCTTGCTATGTAGCCCAAGCTGGAATGAAATCCAATATGTGGTATGTGTTCATGTCTGTGTATGTGTCTATATGTGGTAGCAGGGATTGAATCTAGGTCTGGTACATACTCTGTCATTGAACTATGTCCTCAGCTTTTTAAAAAATATTTTTAAATTTTCAGAAAGGGTACACAACTGTGACATATGTGCAGAGTGCCTAGACTCCTAACAGTGAGAACAGGGCTGTCTCCAACTCTTTAAAGGCTTTGGGACTCCAACCCTCATACGGGGTCACCTTGCCCAGCCTTAATACATGTGGAGATGCTTAGTCTACTGCAACTTAATATGCCATGTTTTGTTGATATCCATTTTCCCTGAACTTTCCTGAACAAAAAGAGAGGAAGAGTGGATTGGGGAGACTGAGGGAGAGAAATTAGGAGGAGAGGAGGGAGGGGAAACCACAGCCGGGATGTAAAATAAATAAATAAATAAATAAAAATTTTTCAGACAGGATCTTGGTAAGTAGTTTAGACTAGCCTTGAACTCACTCTGCAGTGATCCTCTCAAGTAGCTGAAATTATAGGACTGGATCACTATATCCAATATAAAGTCCTAATACTATCCCCAGATGATAGAGAAAAACGTGGAAGCCAGGCATGGTGGCACATGCCTTTAATCCCATCACTTGGGAGACAGAGGTATGAAATAGAATCAGAGCTTGGAGTCTGGAGAAGGGAGAAGAAAGGAGAAGGGAGACCTGAAATCTGTATCCACTCGTCTGACAAATATTTACCAGCTGCACTGTGTGGGAAACACTGGGCATGCAGTGGTGAGGCTGTTAGCCTTGCCCCATGGGGCTTCCATGCCGTTGTGGATCTGGAAGAGTGCCTACAAAAGGGGCCATCTTTTTCCTCTATAGGGGGACTGCCACCACCCCCACAGACACCCATGGTTCATTGCCCTCCAGCCTCCTGCTTGCCCCAGCATCCTCTGCGCGGCCACACAGAAACTGAGTGCCCCGGGGAGCCTGGCTGCCATGCCATCTCCTGTTTCCCTCTCCTTCCTCCTCTTCCTTACCCTTGTAGAAGGCAGGAGCCAGAAGCCGCTACTGGTGGAGGTAGAAGGTATGTCCGTCTGTATGTCTGAAGAGAAGGACCTGGGGTTGGAAGCCTGGGTTCTGGGTTGAGTAGCTGAGCCTTCATTTTCTTATTGGTAAACGTCTGGGAGGAGTCAGAAGAGACCCTCAGGGCTTCCCATATGGTGAACTTCTGGGGTCCTTCGGTTTATGAGGAGGGAAGGGGGGCCGGGGCTCCCCTCTTCCTCTCCCCACAGAAGGAAGCAACCTTGTGCTACCATGCCTCCCGGACCCCTCACCTAACTCTTCTGAGAAGCTAGCCTGGTATCGAGGGAACCAGTCAACACCCTTCTTGGAGCTGAGCCTAGGGTCGCCAGGCCTGGGCCTGCATGTAGGGCCCCTGGGAATCTTGCTAATCATTGTCAATGCCTCGGACCACATGGGGGGCTTCTACCTGTGCCAGAATGGGTCCCCTTCCGAGGATACCTGGCAGCCTGCCTGGACAGTGAACGTGGAGGACAGTGGTGAGTGCCTGGCAGGGCTGGGTAGTGGGGGTTGGTGGGAAAGGGAGCTCTCAACAGACAGAAGATGGTGGGGGTTCAGCGGCTGAGGAGGAAGGGGTTATTTCTAGGTAGCAGGTTCCTATGGATTGGTAACTGCTCAGAGCTACCCATCTCTGTCTCTCTCTCCTGTCAGGCGTAGTTGCTTTCTCTATATATCTCCGGTTCTGCCTTTCCGGGTCTCTGTATCTCCCCCCTCTCATGTTCTATGTATGGTTTGGGGTTTCTTCTCAGGGGAGCTGTTCCGCTGGAATGCTTCAGATATAGGGGACCTGAACTGTGGCCTGGAGAACAGGTCCTCAGGGAGCCATGGGCCCACTTCTGGTTCCCACAAAAGTCCCTCGCTGTATGTGTGGACTAAAGACCATCCTGAGGTCATGGGGACAGAACCTGTATGTGCCCCACAGACAGTCAGTCTGAATCAGAGTCTAATCAACCAAGGTAAGGGGGCGCTGGGAAGTGGGGTCCCAAGGATAGAAAATGGTACTGGGAACTAGAGGGTTTGGGGAGATGAGACCTCAAAGATTATACTTTCATTATCTTTTCTCTCCCTGTTCTAGATCTCACTGTAGCCCCTGGCTCCACACTTTGGCTGTCCTGTGGGGTACCCCCTGTCCCAGTGGCCAGAGGCTCCATCTCCTGGACCCGTGTGCATCCTAAGAGGCCTAATGTTTCATTATTGAACCTAAGCCTTTGGGAAGAGCACCCAGTCAGAGAGATGTGGGTTTGGGGGCCTGTTTTGTCACTGTCTCAAGCCACAGCTTTGGATGAAGGTACCTACTATTGTCTCCATGGAGGCCAGCCCATCGAGATGCATGTGAAGGTCAATGAAAGGTCAGGTAGGGTTTCTCTCAATTCTGGGAATCTGTGTGGAACTACTTGAAGAATTGGAAGGGTTAGGAAGAATTGGGATTCAGTAGAGTGTTTACTTAGCATGTATGAGGCCCTGTGTGTGTGTGTGTGTGTGTGTGTGTGTAGACAGAGAGACAGACAGGCTGACAGACAGACACTATTCTGGTGATGTACAACAGTAACTCTAGAACTTGGAAGGCTGAGGAATGAATACATGTTCTAAGCAAGCCTAGCACTAGGATCAGATTCAAGCCTCATCCCAAACTCCAATTTGCACACTGAATTCTAACTTTAGCTCTTTGCTCATTGCTTCTGAGAACTAGCTTTTCTGGGTCTTCTCCTGTGAGCTCTAGTGACCTCTTCCTCTCCAACCCTTCCCTCTCGGAGCCCTGGGCCTTGTACTCATTCCTATCCACACCGTCTTCTCATTTGCATCCTTACTCCAATGATGCTAATTTCCCATGCCTTTACACCTACCCTGAGCTCCACACTCCCCACACCCAGCCATTTCCTGGAATTGCCATTTGATGTCCCATAGACATAGCAGGCTTGCTAAGTAAAGTCAAACTCAGCATCTTTACCACCTATACTCTTCTGGGTGGTTTTGCAAAAATGGAGCACCCAAAAGAATCTACATGGGTTCACATGCTCATGATTAGGAGCCTGACTTTCTTCCTTTTCCTCACTCCATCCATCACATCAGCCACAACGTCTTGCCTTTGCTGTCTCCTTAATACAATTCTACCGTGCTATCATGACCACAACTCTTAAATGCTACCTCAACTTCCAATCCAAACTTGATCTCACGACATGTTGGATCCCAACTCTAACTTAATAGACACACCTCTGCCTTGCATTTTGACCATGATTATCCTTAACTGCAGATAATCTTCCCCTAATTGCTTGGATAATACCCATGCTTTGTGCATGGTTTGTTAGTATAGTGTCTTGTGCTCTGTGCCAGCCTCTGTGGCATAATCCATGTCCTCTTGGGGATAATGGAACAGAGAAGACCCCTCTGCAGAGTTCAAGACTTTAAAGCTGTGTCTTACGTTGGTCTCCCAGACAATGTTCTTTGAGGGGTTGGAGAGTTAGTTAGATGCATTGTGGGACCCTTGTCTCATAGCGCCTTCCTCCTCACAGTGTGGCTCTGGCTGTTGAGAACTGGTGGATGGGTGATCCCAGTTGTGACTATAGTATATCTCGTCACCTGCATGGTTTCTCTGGTGGCTTTTCTCTACTTTCGAAGAGGTGAGTCATGCCTCCCAGTGTCCCCCAATTCTACCCAATCTTTCCCAGAACAAGGCCACACTGACTGATCTGACATGTCCGACAGCCCTGTCCTTACTTCTTTAATGCCTCTTAAACTTCTCAGGGCCCCTAACATTTGTATAACCATCTCCTCTATTGACCCAAGGGACCTTCCCTGTATCCCCCAAATTCTCCTCCTGCCAGGCAGTCCCTCCTCTGATCAATCTCTTTAAATCCCACCAGCCCTTATCCTGAAGAGGAAAAGAAGGCGGATGATGGACCCTGCCAGGAGGTAAAGTAGCAGAGCCCTTTTGCTGTAAGCTTTACACCCTTTCTTCCATCCTGCAGGCCTTGGCACTATTTCTGTTGGTTGAAATACTATCCAAGTTCAAAGGCTGCCTCCAAAATCACCTTCTTTGGCATGGCCCCCTACTCATTGGAGGGTGTCCCTTCTGAGTTAACCTCCAGAACAGAATGGAACGGTTTAGCTTCAAGGTGTACCAACCCTTTCTCCCTTCAGATTCTTCAAAGTGACACCTCCCTCAGGAAACGGAACCCAGAACCACTATGGGAATGTGCTCTCCCTTCCTACACCCACCTCCAGCTCTGGTGAGGGACCCCCAGGGGCCTTTGACTCAGATCCTTCCTCCAGAGCCAGCTAGCTGCACATCATCTTCATTTCTCCAGTCTTCTGAGAGCAGAGCCTTCCTTTCCCAGAGCAGAGCCCAGTGCTGAGTGCTGAGTCCCACCAGATCAGTCAAGTAGGGTCCCTGGACCTTGGCCGGAACACAACCGGGTCTTAGAACTTGAGGTCAAGGCCCAGATTTAGATCCCTTCCCCGTGGTTCAAGGCCAGTTACCAGGTGTTCTGCAGAGCCTAGAGCAGTCTCCTTCCTGCCTTGGCTGGAATGACCATTTTAAAATGCTCTTTTCACCAGCCCATGCTCAGCGTTGGGCCGCAGGCCTGGCGAGTGCCCCTGGGTCCTATGGAAACCCGCGCATTGAAGTCCAGGATACTGGAGCTCAGAGCCGTGAAACAGGTCAGATGGAAGGGTGTGGGATCAGTTGGCTGGGGTGAAGGAGGAGAGATGTTGATAACTCAGTTCTCCACACCGGTCCTAAACTCAGGGCTGGAAGAAGAAGAAGGAGAGGCCTATGAAGAGCCAGACAGTGAGGAGGGTTCCGAGTTCTATGAGAACGACTCCAACCTTGGGCAGGAACAGCTTTCTCAGGGTGAGGTCCCACTCCCCCTGGTCCTGACACTTCCCCAACTGCGGACCTTTGTTAGAGATGCCCCTTTTTCTCTACCAGATGGTAGTGGCTATGAGAACCCTGAGGATGAGCCCATGGGTCCAGAAGAGGAAGACTCCTTCTCTAACGGTAATGTGGGGTCCTTGTGGGGCTGGTGGCCAAGAAAGCGTGCCTGGTGCTGCAGAGCTCCTAACACACAGGAACATGGTTTGAACTCTCTTTTCCACAGCTGAGTCTTACGAAAACGCAGATGAGGAGCTGACCCAACCAACTGGCAGGACCATGGGTGTGTATGTGTGTATGTGAGTGAAAGTGGTCGCTCTGGGTCGAGGCTGGAGACCAGGAGAAAAAGTGATGTGACTCTTCTTGTTCCAGACTTCCTGAGCCCCCACGGATCTGCCTGGGACCCCAGCAGGGAGGCATCCTCACTTGGTGAGAGATGCTTAGGACCACCTTTTTTTGGTCAATTTAGGCTGATACAATTTTAGCTCTGACCTCAAGCCCAAACTTAACCCCTGTCTTAGACTTCATTCCTACCTCCAACCCCTACCCACTATCCCGTTTTCCCAGTATTTATACTGTCTCTAACGTTGAACATCAATATTGACCCAAGCGGGACTGACAACCTCGTCTGTTTAATTTCCCCTGCCTGGGTCCTGCCCTGTGGTAGGCAGCACTACATTGCCCCCAGCCCCAGCAGGGCTTCTAGGTCTCTAATCTTTCATTCCCTACCTAAGCAGGGTCCCAGTCCTATGAGGATATGAGAGGAATCCTGTATGCAGCTCCCCAGCTCCGATCAATTCGGTCTGGCCCCAGCCATGAGGAAGGCGAGTACTTCCGTACAGTTCCCAGCTGTCCTTTGGGCCACCCCTCCCACTTCCTTCCCTTCCTATTTATTCTTTCCTTTTTCCTGATATAATCCAGATGCAGACTCTTATGAAAACATGGATAAGTCTGATGATCCAGAGCCAGCATGGGGAGGAGAGGACCACACGGGGGCTTGGGATACGAGGTGACTCTCAAGTGAGTAGATGAGCTGGACACTGCCCCTGGAAGAGAGGAGGAAGAGGGAGATGGACAAGGATGGAAGTGCAGAGCTGTCTGACAGGGAGAGGAAGGGGAAGGGCTTCCGGATCCTGGTGGATGGGGCCTCCACTCCTTCCCATCGTTGTTTCTTCTATATAGTCTGGACTTCCTCGGGTCCCAAGAGCCACATTCAACTCTGAACTCTGGAGGTCCCAATCTGATGGTGTCACTCACTGAAATGACCTTGTTTAGGATGTGTGTATGTGAACGCACGCACTCATAAGCATGTACAAGTGAAGCTTCCTTCCCACCCTTTTTGTTTCCCCCAAATAAACTCAATGAGCCACTCAAGTTCTCTGAAGCAATGCCGTTGTATGGAAAGGAAGGAAAGATGGGGGAGGACACACTCCCAAATCACCCGAGGAAGGAGGGCTACAGGCTGAATGCAGCCTGGCCCCAGCCTTCCCAGGCCTTCGCATCAGCCACCTTCTAAACATCCAGGGATGCAAATGTACTCATCCACCATCCAGCTGATGTCCCACGAGGAAGAGGCAGTGATGGGATTGGCAGGCTAGTTAGAAAACATTATCTAGCATCACTACAGATTTTTGTACCTTCTCTATTCTAAACATTAGCATCTATGAGTCATTTTGTCCTTACAATAAGGTCACAAACCCCTTGAGTATGCCAGGATTTATCAAAGTAAATTTATGTGTGGAATTGAAGTGTGTGTGAGTTTTTGAGATGGGATTTTGATATGTATCTTACTTAGAATTTCTATTTTTTTGTGATAAACCATCACAACCAAAAGCAACTTGGGGGGGTTATTTCATCTTACAGCTTGTACCCCATTATCCAGGGAAGTCAGGGCAGGAACTCAAGGCAGGATTTGGAGACAGTAGCTCATGCAGAGGAGTGCTTCTTACTGGTTTGCTCTCCATGACTTGCTTAACCTGCTTTCTTATACTGTCCTGGACGACTTACCCTGGACTGACCTTGCCCACAATGGGCTGGGTGGGGCCCTCTGAAATCATTAATCAAGAAAATGTCCCACAGACATTGATGGAAGCATTTTTCTCAATTTAGAATCCCTCTTCCTAGATGACTCGATCTTCTGTCAGAATTGACAAAAAAAACTAATCAGTACACTATATGTCCATCCCAGTCTTAAACTTATGGGCTCAAGTGATCCCCCTGCCTCATGAATAGTTGTAACTACAACTGAATACTACTATGTTTGTACTTTTTTTCTTGGTACTGGAACCAAACCTAGGACATCATACATGCTACTGAGAACACTGCAATACCCAGCTATACTAGAAGCTTTATGGAATATATGTTTGGTTTTCTTCTCTCTCTCTCTCTCTCTCTCTCTCTCTCTCTGTGTGTGTGTGTGTGTGTGTGTGTGTACCCGTGCACACCAGTAAGTTGACAGATGATTGGCAGCACTGATGGTTGGTAGCTTCAGGATGGGAATGGTCACCAGAGAGACCAGGCAGGATTAGAGGGCTTGGAATTGTGCTCATCCAGCCTCCAGAAAGGGGAAAGGATTGAAGGTTCAGTTGGTGGCCAGTGAAGTAATCAGTCATGCCTATGTATAAATCTGGAAGAGTGAAGCAAGAGGCTCCCAAGTCCTAGCCAGCTTGGACTATGAAAACAAAGGCAGAAAACAGGGGACGGGTTTGGGGAACCCCAAGGCTGCTGAGCACATGGAGGCTTTTCCAAAGTGAATTGATCCCACGGAGAGGCTGTGGGAACCCTGATTTGCATCAGTTTCTCAGAAGCACAGGTGTGGTGTGCTGTGTATCATCTGAGGATTTAGGAGGCTAAGGCAGGCGAATGGAGAGTTCCAGGCCGCCTGGTCTCAGAACAAAGCAGCACAAGTAGCCTGAGGCCTGCAGCAGGGGCCAAGCTTGGGCCTGCTGCCTTCATCCTGGGGGTCTGATTTCTTCAGGGAGACATTGTCAGTACTCAGCTAGATTAAAGTCTGTCACTTGCTGTCCCTGAAAAATGGTTTAGTCACTTGTTGGTGGAGAGAAACCTCTGTACCTTTCTGGGATCATACAAATCTGTGTTGATTGTTGCTTAGAGAATGCAAGAAGAAAAGAATTTGAATAGATTTCCCCATATTATCAGATTATGTTTATTAAGTCATATCATCTTCACAAACCCGCTCTAAGTATACTAACATTATGACAGCTTCACAGATGAAGAGATTGGGGCAGGCAGAGGAGATAAGTAGCATGCCACAGCTTGTCTAGTTGGTACACGGTGAGGCCATGCACTCTGGTTCTCTGCCCACATTCAGCCTTGCCGCTCTCCCTTCTGTTTACCTGTGTCCTCTGTGGTGCTGGAGATGGCACACAGGGCTCTGGGTGTGTTGGACTGTGCTCCATCCATCACTGTCCACCCCCTCCCTCCTGACACAATACTACAGAAGGGGAACTGAGCATCCGAGAAACTAAGTGACACACCTTCAGTCACATGGCTAAAGTCTGAGCATGTAGCCACCCTGTCTCTCCACTTGGTGTTCATGGAGCCTTGTCCTTGCACAAACAACACCTGCAAGACCTTTCAGAGCAAGTCTTCAGCCCTGGAAACTATCCTGAGCAAGCTCCATGCCATCCATTTTGTGAGATGGCATTGGTCTCTGATTCCCAATGTCCTCCATTGGTCATGTTCTCCTTGTCACCATTGTCCCCAGCTCTGTGACCTTCTTAACCTCAGACTGGCATCTGAAACCCAGTCTTCCTTTTTTTTTTTCAAGGTGGGAGGCAGGTCTTTAATGGGGTGGGACAGAGTTCCAGTCTTCCTTTTAAAAAGTTTAAAGATGTTTATTATTTTATGTGTATGGGTGTTTTATCTGCATGGATGTCTGTGCACCACACACCTGCCTGGTGCTTGAGGAGGCCAGAAAAGGATGTTGGATTCCCTGGGACTGGAGTTGCAAATGGTTGTGAACTTCCACATGGTTGTTGGGAATTGAACCCAGGTCCCCTAGAAGAGCAACCAGTGCTCCTAATCACTGAGTCATCTCTCCAGTCTCTCCCTCTCGCCCTTTCTCTCTCTCTCTCTCTCTCTCTCTCTCTCTCTCTCTCTCTCTCTCTCTCTCTCTCTCTCTCTCTCTCTCTTCCTCCTGAGATAGGGTTTCTCTGGTTGTCCTGGAACTTACTCTGTAGATCAGACTGGCCTTGAACTCAGAGATCCACCTGCTTCTGCATCCCGAGTGCTGAGATTAAAGTCATGCACCACCATAATCTGACAAAACCTATTCAAAAGAAATTTCAAAGCTCCTTGTGAGATCAACTACATTAATAATAATAATAATTTTTCCAGTGTTCTTTTTATATTTATTTTATGTGTATGAGTGTTTTGCTTGTATATATGTGTACAACATATGTGCCTGGAACCCACAGAGGTCAGAAGAGGGCATCAAATCCCCTGGAAATGGAGTTACAAAGAGTTGTGAGTGTCTATGTGTGTTCTATTCCCAGAACCCAGGTCCTCTGTAAGAACTGCAAGTGTTCTTAACTGCTGAGCCATCTCTCCAGTCCCTAGAATTTGTATTTTCTCTTGTTTTTTAGACAGGTTCTCATGTCTGGCTTCTAGCTCTCGCTATAGCCTAGGATGGCCTTGGGTTTCTTCTGACCTTGCCCCTTTCCCCTTCAGTTGTGGGATTAGAGGTGTGTGTAGATAATGTGACACTGGGCATAGAACACGGGGCCTCACCAATGTTAGCAAACACTATCATCTAGATACTTCCTTAGCCTGAATAGTGACTTTTACACTCATGTCCAACGCCAGGGCTCAGGGAAGGCTTTTTCTTCATTGTCTGTGCCCGGAAGAGAGGCAGTCCTTTCTCAGCCCCAGACTTGGGCAGGAAGCTCCATTTCAGCTCTAGTTCCGAGGGCCCCAGTCTCCCCCTCTGTCCCCAGTCAGGCACTCAAACTTCAGCTGTAGGAATTCTTGTAAACCTTGTGAGCTGCTTGGCCACACATTTCCCACTCACCCATTATAGTGGCTTTGATTTCTTTATTTCTGGCATCATGGGGATTCCCCTTTTGAGCTCAATTATTTTTAAAAATGGCTTGGGGAAATCTGGAGCTCCTCTCCCAGCCCTGAAAACCCAGACCACCAAAGAAACACTCCCCGTTAAATTTGCATCATATATGCATCTTTAAGTGTTCGGACCTCCAGCATCTCCTTGGGCTTCCATCTTGAACAGAAGTCCCTTGAAACACCAGCTCCACCCATCCCTGGCTCGGTGCTTCAAGGTTTCCCTCCATATGGCAGTTTTCTGGTCTGAGAAATAAGGACAGCAGCCATGGTTTCTTTCTGAATTAATCTTTCTTATGTTTTGTGGTGCTGGGAATCAAACTTACGGTCTTTCTCATGCTGGGGAAGCACACTAACCACTCAACCCCTGAGTGAATGATGTGAACATACCTGACTAAGCACTAACTTTAGCTACTATTATTAACTGGCATTTAGAGGTCCTACTGTGTGCCAGGAGCCAGAAGGCACTAAAGCATTATGTAGAGACCTCCCTAGGAAGGAGCCATGTCTCAAAGCAGCTCGACTTCCTGTCTCATGCTTCTAGTTTTGAATAGGGCCTGGACCACTCTCAGCTCTTGAGTTAGGCTTGGAGAAAATTTCAGGTTCTCACTGTCATCTCCTGCATCCCTAAGCTTGCAGTTACTTCCCAGGTCATTCCAAAGTTGGGAGAGGAATGTAGAGGAGGTTAAAGTTTTCATTTATGCCTGTTATACACCTGCAGTCCTAGATACTTGACTCTATAGTTTAATGCCAGCCTGGTAAAGACAGTGAGAATCCACCTCTAAAAGAAAAAACCGGGGGGGAAGGTCAGATTTTCTGGGCATTGGTGGCACACACCTTTAGTTCCAGCACTCAGGAGGCAGAGGCAGGCGGATCTCTGTGAGTTCGAGGCCAGCCTGGTCTACAGTGCGAGTTCCAGGACAGCCTCCAAAACAATAAAAAGAAACCCTGTCTCAAAAAAACAAATAGCAAAGTTTGGGGCTGGAGACGTGGCTTAGTGCTTAAGAGCACTACTGACTGCTCCAGCAGAGGACCTGGGTAGGATTCCCAGCAGCCACGTGGAGGCTCACATCTGTAATCTCAGTTCCAGGGGATCTGATGCTCTCTTCTGGCATCCACAGGCACTGCATACATGTGGTACACAGAAAAACATGCAGGCCAAACACCCATACACTCAAAACAAAAATGAATATTTTTATCAGAAAAAAATTTCCTCTCTGAGAGTTTGATAAATAAAATCTCTAGAAAAACTGACAGATTGACAAGAGAAAAATATGTGCACATGTATGACAGTC